GAAAGGGGTTAGTTTGACAGATATTAAAGACAGAGCGAAGAATACAAAAGCAATAGAATGTCAAGGCAAATAATTGGTGAAGCGAGGGGAAAGAGGAGAGAACGGGACGAGAAAAGGGGTGAGAGTCAGAATTAGGAAAGATGGCAGAGATTACCAAGGCATTTCAAATCTCAAGACAAATAATGAGTGAGACGAGGGGAGATGAGAGCACGAAAGGGGTGAGGGTCACAGATAGGAAAGAGAAAGCAAGGAATACAAAATCAATGCAGTGTCAAGGCCAATAATTGGAGAAGCGAGGGGAAATAGGAGAATGGAGCCGGGAAACGGGTGAGGGTGAGAGATAGGTAAGAGAGCAAGGGATATCAAGACATTGAAATATCAAGGCAAATAATGGGTTAGGCGAGGGGAAAGTATAAGCATAAGAAGAGGAAGGAGAGGAGGGTGAGAGATAGCAAGGAGAGAGCGAAGAATAACAAAGCAATGTAGTGTCAAGGTAATTAATGGTTCAAGCAAGGGGTAATAGGGGCAAAGGAGACAGAAAGGGGGTGAGGGTGAGAAATACAAGAGAGAGAAAATACCAAGGCACTGGAATGCCAAGGGAAATAATGGGTTAGGTGGGGGGAGGTGAGAGCATGAAACCACAAAGGGTGTGAGAGTGAGAGATGGGAAAGAGAGCAATGAATACCAAAGCAATGTAGTGTCAAGGCATAGTGGGCGAAGCGAGGGGGAAGATGGGAGCACGAAACGGGAAAGGTGAGAGACGGAAAAGAAAAAGCAAGGAATACCAAAGCAATGGTATGTCAAGTCAAATAATTGGTGAAGCAAGGGGGAAGATGAAAGAACAAAACGGGAAAGGGGGCGAGAGATAGGAATGAGAGCAAAGAATACGAAGGCTAATCAAAATGGACGATTCGGCCAGTTGGTCCTGCGCTTGTGCTTGTCTTTTTCCCGTCTGTGTTTTCTACCGCGTGGTACTCTTAGATGAAATATGAAGGCATTGGAATGCCAAGGTAATGAGTGAGTGAGGCGAGGGGTAGATGAGAGAACGAAACAGAAAAAGGGAGGAGGGTGACTGATAGAGAAGGGAGCAAGGATTACCAAAGTAATGCAGTTTAAAGGCAAATAATGGGTGAAGCAAGGGGAAAGAGGAAAGACGGAGACGGTAAAGGGGTGAAGGTGAGAGATATATGTAAAAGAACTAGAAACACCAAGGCATTGGAATATCAAGGCAAAAATGGGTGAGGCTGGGAGAAGACAGAATGCATTGGGAAAGGAGATTGATTAATTGATTTGTGGGGTTTAACGTCCCAAAACCACCATTTGATTATGAGAGACGCCGTAGTGGAGAGCTCCGGAAATTTCGACCACCTGGGGTTCTTTAACGTGCACCCAAATCTGAGTACATGGGCCTACAACATTTCCGCCTCCATCGGAAATGCAGCCGCCGCAGCCGGGAATCGAACCCGCGACCTGCGGGTCAGCAGCCGAGTACCTTAGCCACTAGACCACCGCGCCGGGGCTGGGAAAGGAGAGGAAGGTTAGAGGTAGGAAAGAGAGGGCGAAGAATGCCAAGGCGATAGAATGAGGAAGGAAATATTCAATGAGGTGAGGGAAAGATTGGAGCACGAAACGGGAAAGGGGGTGAGAGCAAGATTAAAGCATAACAAAACGAAGCAGTGTCAGACAAGGAAGGAGTGAGATGTGGGGAGAGGAGGGTGTAGGTGAATGGCCAAAGAAAGTGAGGGTGAGGAGGAAGGCAGAAAGTAAGGCACCATAGAACTAGGGTATCAGAGGAAGGAATCGCTAACACACGATGGCGGGCTAGTTTGTATCAATGAAGTGAGAGTAAGCACGCCTAGACATGAACGGGTCAAGAAAATAGACAAGGACACTGGCAAGGAATGTGTGAGGCGAGAGGGCAGGTCTGAATATAAAAGGAAAATGAATGCAGAGGAGAGGGCACGGAACAAAAATAGACAGGAGGGGAAATGGCTGCTTTCCGCGCCGTGGCTGTGTCGGCGTGGGGAGTTGCATGTGGCTGCACCATCTGCAGAACCACAGCTGAACTGTGACGCTGGAGCCATGGCCCCCGAGATGGCAAGCGTGCAACTATGGTAGGGCGGTGCGTGCGGCGCGCCCGCCATTTCAGAAGACATGCCAGGGCGGCAAACGCGAGAAGCTCGCTCTTGTCGTCTGCTTGCACGCCGTTGCTTGGTACTTGAACCTCAGGCAACTATATGAGGGTATCACTGGCTTAAAACAAAGAAAACCGGTCGTTGGAAGGGACGGCGAACGCTCCGACGTCAAGCCCGGGAACGTGAGGGAACGTATCGCGGATGACATATTTTTTGAAGTATGGATGAATACCTTCCGCAAATGTTTGTGCCTTTCAGTATGAAAAATTAGGGATGCATCAGCTGCATGTTTGTGAGAGAACATCCAGAATAAAGTAACCGTATATGCTCGCGACGAGAACTGAGTAGCGCATACGTCTGCCATCTTGCCTGGTTAGCAACCATGGTGACGCGGCGAAGCCACGCTCTGTTTTTGCAGGTGACTGTGGCCGAAGCGTGTCGCCGATCGCCAATTGACCTGCCTCGCGTGTCAACACCTTCTTTCGCAACTGTGCCATCAAAAATCAAAAGCACTTTTTAGTCTGCCTGGTAACGCAAAGAGCAAAGCCGTAGCGTAGTGCCGAATAACATGCACCGCCGCTGCCGCATGGTCAATTGGCGCCGGCTATGAAAGATTAGAAACAACTCACAAATACAAAATATAGGTACTCCAAGGTTCAAGGACTGCTCCACGAAGCCTTCAGCATTTATTATTTCAGTACACTTTTTTTCAAAAATAATGCCTAATCTAAGCAAATGCTTTGCTGTCAAAGCTTGTGGGCATGTATCTAAAGCAAATAGAAGCACCAGTTCGTAGCTAACAAGCTACAGCGCGCACGACGGTCCCTTGAGTTAATCCAGGTGGATGGCGACCGCGGTGAAGCCGGTGCGCCAGCTTCTCCGCGGTGCATGGTTGCTAGCGGCGCTGAAGCACAAGTGCGCTACTCCGCTGCGTAAAGGTAGACTTGTGGCCATGCCATCTTGTCAACGCTGGAAAAACCGTGGTGCACCTTCGCAACGCGTTCAAGAGATGGTGTGACCGCACCGTGCACCGGTCTATCTCGGAGGCGGTCACAACAAAAGTAAAACCCCATTTCGTAATCGGGCTGTGTTCGGATCACATTACCACCGTTATAACCAGCCTTCGCTCTTTGGTGGAGGCGTAAACCTTGCTGCAAGAAAAGACAGAAACCGTATGCCTTCCAGTCTATTTAACATATCATTCAAGCTGACATGTATCATTTCTGTACATATTCGTAATCTTATTGAATTGCATCTCTATAGACCACTCATGCACTCGACTGGACCGATAGCTAGCCACAGAGCCTGATGGTTCAAATATTTTTGTAGCCATATTTTTGGAGTACTTGATGAGAAAAAAAACAATTATTGGCTGAAAATCAATGATTCGCTAAAATTATGCCTAGCCGAAAGCGGCTCGAGGACTGTAGACATGGCTTGAACATGGAAGTAATAGAACAACCCTTGCGAAAGTTAGACATGCTTTTCTGAGGTAAAAAATGTCAATTTATGCGTTCTAGATTGTCTGGAGTACCAGCCGTGGGATACACGGTAATTGATGGTGGTCTCCTTATCGCAGTACTAAATGCTTGATTACGCGACTACTTGCAGTGAGAATGAAGCTGTCGTAACAAGTCTAGTAGTAAACCAGAAGCGCAGGAGACGGTATGTCAACAGTAGTAATGGCGCTTTGGCTGTCCTGCCCTATCGGGTGGTTCCGAAGGCCTGAAGTAGTAGCGAAAACTGACTCCAAGCCTGTTCGTTGAGAATTAAGGCAATACGACATGCCACATAACCTCAGGGTTACCAGAAATGCTGATAATATTGCTAATGTGTCCACATTCATTATCAACAAACACTTGCCGGACGCCTGAGCTTCACCTTCGAGGGTGTACGCGATAGCGTAATCGAGCTCCGTGCGAAACACCCTGAATTACTAGCGTCGCTTCGCTTCTAAGCAGATACTGCCGCGTGACAGTAGGTGTGTACAATGCTTACTGCAGGTGCAGTTGCGGAGTGCCCACTTCCCCATAACTCTTCCTTTTGGGAATCGGCGAAGGCCCCGCTACACGTCCAAACAATTTCGAACCTGCAGGCTTTGGTGATGGTGTTGCGGATATTGACGACTCATAACACCTGCTCGCACCGCTCGATGCACGATTGCGCACTCGTTGGACAGTTAACATCAGGCGCGTAGCCGGATTTTTTTTTGTGAAGGAGGGGCACCTCTTTGATTTCAAGAGGGGCCCTCTTGAAATGGTGATTTCTCGCTACGCTACGTCGGAAAAAAACTTCGAGGGGGGGGGGGGGCACGGGACTAGTGGCATCGTGCCTGGTTCACATGAGTGAACAGCTGGTGCGCTTGCTGTCTTCTGCCTCGCAATACATGCGTGAAGCTGACTCCTCGCGCTGCATGATGGTCTTGTAGTTTTTTCTGAATCAAGCTCCACACAATGGCATGACTCTGTGATAAAACGCCTCCTCGCCACGCAGAATATTCAATGAGCCACTCAAATTGAGGACTTTAATTATTTATTTGCACTTGTCTCGCGTTTTTGCTCACTGAGAACTCAGACGTTTTCCTCACTTGTCTCGACATTGACACCAGACTTTCTGCTATGTGAGCTGTTTAGCGCTAATGCGTTAATATACAGGCAGGCCCAGGGTACTATGGATGTGCTTTATGGTTCTTAAATTTTTCATTATGCACGCCTAATGTTCACAAAAGTTATCATCGCTAATGAGGGCCAAACTTCAATGTTTGCTTTGTATGATATACATAAAGCATGCTATATATATGCTCTTCAGGCAAACGCATGCACTTACCTCTTCCATACATGTGTCTTTCGCAGCAGCTGTGCCGGGATGAATTCTCCTGTGTCTGGTACTTCAGGAGATTCTGACGAGCCAACCACCATCACAATCCCCAGACGGGACTCGAGCTGGCCATCACAGATGCCGGCAGACTCTGCCGTGTACTCAGTCGAGAACTTCAATCCCACGCCTCCCACAGAGCTCGTGTGCCGCCTGTGCCAGGGCGTGCTCTGTGACCCGGTGGAGTGTGCGTGTGCCTGTCGGTCTGAATTCTGCTCATCGTGCATGGCAGTCGCGCCAACCGTTTGCTCCCCCTGTTACACCGAAGTGACCACGTCCCTGCTGGTGCCCGTGGCCCCCATCATGGTTAACATGATCGCCAAGCTGAAAGTGAGGTGCTCAAACCGAGCTGAGGGATGCACCGCAGAGGTTAGAGAATCTATAAACCTCGCCTATTCACTCTAAAAAAAACATACTGTATCTGTTGTAAAAATTGAAAGAATAGTAAATTTTAGGTTCGAAGCGAATCTGAAGCGTCCAGTGATTTGGTCGAATAAATTAGAATCGCATTGTTATAACATATTGTACGAAAAAAAATCTGTGCCATTGCCATGACCCGAGGCAGAATATTTCCTCAAGGTTGAAACAAGGCATGTGCAAATGTCATTCTTTTTGGTTGAAGTTGAAAGTGGAGTCCCCATTGAATTGTAGCAGCACTTGACTTTCGGTAAAATAAAGCTTCCAAAATATGTTACGTTTTAAAATTTTTGCTACACTTATTGCGTAGAAGCTGGTGTAATAAACTTCTCTAAATAAAAAAAAAAAACACGCCAGGCCTGCACAGAAAGCGCAGCCCAGTCACAGCGAAAATTGGGAGAGTGCCATTCTTAGAAACCATTGCAAACTCTCTTGAGGCTAATCATGCAAACGCACCTGCAAGATACCCACTACTTCATTATTTGATTCGGTGTCTAACGATGAAGAATTATTGCTGAGCCTTTTGTAAAGGGTTGGATGCATTCAACGACCCCATCGCAATGCTATTCATACTGTGTGACGCCTGGTCGCTATTTCACTCTTCTAGCCGGCTATATTGCATTTGTTACCGTGGTTTCTTTCCGACATAATGCTTGTGTAGGATTTTGCTGTGCTGGAAATTTGAGAACCGGCATGGCTCAGTCTCCAACCCAAGTACTGGAATGCCGAGGAAGCTTCTAAATTCAGATACCTGTCCACCTTTTCCTTTTTGTTTGTTTAGTCGTTTGTTTGGTGTATATTTGTTCAATGCTGTATGTACATGGGTAATAACTACTTCAATAAAATTCATGGTTCAGTCGTGGAGCACTGGGCTCGCACATTAAGGGTCCAGGTTCTAATGCCGTTCCATCTTAGAAATTTTTTTCTTATTTGGTTTGTTTTTCTCTAATTCGTCTGATAAGGGTTACGGACACCGGAAGCGGCGGCAGAAAACTTCGGCCTCCTTGTTCTAATTTCGTAACAGCTCCCGCTCTAAAATAATCATCAATCGATGTGAGCTAATATGCTTGTCTAACCTTGAATTGGGGCTTCGCGATAATGCAGATTTTTCCTTTAATTCTCCACCGCAGTGAAACCACTTTCATAGGTGGTTACATTGGGATTATTATTCGCGCATTATTTCATTTCAAGCACTTCAAAATTTCTGATGATTGAAATTCAAATTGAAGAGAATTCTAGTACTGTAATATTCGTTCGAATATTCAAAGCGCTTGAATATTCGCAGTGGGCATGTAAAATGTTCGTTCAGTGCGACATTTAGAATTATCCAACAGCTGAGTATGATCATGACAGGTTAGCTAAACTTTCGGATTGATATTGCATTCAACTATCCCTCTGAGCTACTGTTATTTGCCTTTCCGAATGAAAGTTATGAAGGGCGCGATTGATCTTTGATACTCGAATTCCATTGAACTATCGGCAGTTCATCCATTTGGCTGCAATTTCTATTTGTTGCCGCAGACAAGTACAGTTGAGAACCACAAGAAGCAAATTATAGCATGGGTGCTAATCCTTTGATATCAGTGCATTATTTTTTTTTCACGGTGTATACATATCATTTGAAGCTAGTTTATAGAAGTTTATACAATAAGGCATATGAATATTCCTGAAATTCGAAATGTTTTTGTTGAGTGTCAGGGAAAGGACAAGCGGGACCAGAAAAAAATTCCCCCACCTCCCCGAAGGGAATAGGGAGGAAATGCCACTGCTTTGCGTGGCGTCCATAACGGCATTTCCCACGTCAGAACGAAGGGTTTGAAGAATAATGTTTTCTTTTTTTACACCGTGCAGCCAATAGCGTCGTTCGCCGCTCTAGTAGTTCGCCAGCTCAAGTTGCTAGCGTGCACGGTCAAAGACTGCTATGAAATGAACAAAACAGCGTTTTTGGCTCAGCGTTGGCGTTAGACAGCGGCGTATCGAGCACACATTTCCGGATGTTCTTGAGAGGCGCCCAGCCAGGGAACGGTCGAGAATGAGGCGCGAGTAGGCGGGAAAGTGGGGTGCAGGGAGAAAAGAGAGCAAACGGTGAGAGAAGGAGCGGCAAAGCACTGCTACCATAGCACTGCACCTACCCTCTCCTACACTTTCTCACACCAAATACTATGGGCGAAGATAAATGCGTGCGCCCGCTGCTGTCGTTGACAGCAGCCGACGCTGAAGCGTGACTTGGTGGGCACTCCGTAGCTGCTAGGAACGTGCGCACCCACAGCTGTTGCTCTGGGAGAGGGTGGTGGACGGATCCCGATGGCGCCTGACATAGCCCGACTAAGAAATGCATTAACAGATAAATTAAACCTTCCTGTGGGAATGGTTTCACACACTTAAGAAGTCATAGAAGAAATCCTCACCCAAGTAGAACGTGACATGATGTAAGACTGAGCTTGTGTGGAGATACAACCTGAAAATGTGAAAGTGTAAATTTAAAGGCTTGTTCTTTTTAGACACAATATAATTAGAACTTACACACAATATTGCCAGGGAAATTATATGGGATGTTATGAGAAGTAATTGTAATGTAAAAGTGACAAAAGAAAAGCGGATGAAGTGATAACTTGCCACCGGCAGTATCCAAACCTGCGACCTTCATATAAGGTGTATGATACTCTACCACTGAGCTAAGGTAGAAGTAATACCACCGTCCACCTCATGGCAAACGCATGTTGGGTGCAAACGTGAGCATGCATTTCTACAGCGGCTGTCTGAACTCTCACAGAAGTTTCATAATCTTGCCGGGTTTTGGAGGACATTTGGTGCGTGTGCCATGATGTGTATGTGATGTGCTCTTGCATTCCGGGTCTTCTTTCTTTTTTCCTCGCCCCGTATATATGCATTCGTTCTGACTGAAAATGAAGGCTTATTCTGTCGCGTGTATTATTACACTGTTCCTGCCTTCTGATGGGTGGCACCAGTTTTCTAATTGGCTGGAATAATCGATTGTTGAGCTACTCAAAACAACAACATAGTGGCGAGGAACACCGCATTTTTGAGGAATCTGGTAATTTCGACGATGTGTTGTTTAACGTGCTCTGACGCGGGCCTCTAGCATTACAACTTCAGTTAAATGCAACCACCATGGATGTAATTGAACCTGCGAAGTGGTAGTTTTCGCGTTATCTTTGCATAAGTAAGGCAAAAGTCAATATGAACATCATTTGCAAAATGAGAGCCGAACACGGAACTTGTAACACTTTTTTCTACAGTGTCATGTATCGTCTATTCCCCTTTCCACTGCCAAATATATATACACAATAGCATAAAAACAGCTCGTTTTGCAGAAATTCTGGTGTCGACACTGTTGGTTGTGAATGAAAAAGTATCACTTTGTCCATGACCCAAAAATAGAGAGATGCAAATAAAAAAACAATAAAACTTCCGGGCCCAAGTGAGGATCGACTGAACCCAGGCCGTTCGCTGTGGAAGCAGTTTTTCTATTATACATAGCCACATGGCTGTTTCGAAATGCAGTTAAAATAGCTTACTCTGCATGAAAATGCAGTGAAGATAACTTCCGCTGCTTGGAAATACACAGCTGAAGTAATTTCCCCTCTTCAAAATAAGTGTTAAAGAACTTCCTCTGCTCGATAATGCTTTTAAAATAACTTTCTCTGCTTGGAACAGCATTGAGAATAACTTCCTCTGCTTGGAAATGCTGTTAAAATAACTTCTTCTGCTTGAAAATGTTGAGAAAATAACGCCCATGCTTTACAAACACATGCATCCGTGCAAAAACATGGCTTACGATACAACATGTAATACCGCAGTAATATTGCGTGGTTGAAGCGTACATTCCGATTGGACGTCAGCAAATGTGATTATCATAACAATTTTGTGCTTATGATGAGCCGGCCACCCAGTAGAAAAGGCGCACTCGTTATTGCACGTATTCCTCTAATATACCACGTTGTGGGTGCATAGCAAGTTTGAAAATATTTCATGCCCACAATTGCGCTTGGATTAGAGGACGCTACTCATTAAACAAAATGCAGCCATATGCGAAGGTTTCCGTGACACAAGCAGCCTTCAACTTTATCGATTACCTTGTAGTTATCCACAATTTAAACCGCTCGCGTAACATCATAGAACAAACAGTAAGCACTAAGTGGCCGAAGTGCACACTAGAGACAAGATATTTTTATCACGCTGAACTCTTGAAGGCGAAGCTCATGGATCCCCCATTTTTTTCCACCTGCGCGCATATTAATCTAACCTTGGTAGCCTTGTGCAGCCTTACTCGATGCCACAGCGATGAAATGAGACTTCTAACCTCTGTTACCATTACTGCAGTGGACGTGGTTTTGGAACAACGGAGAAGGCAAGCCTATTTTTGGTAGTACAAGTGCTAACCACATTCTGCTGTTTTTAATGCTAGCAGAGATGGTTAGCCTCTGCGTACTGTTAGAGCCAATGATGAGTTTAGTTGTATATGGATAGGTCACTTCTAGAGAACTCGACACACATTTGATTACGATTCATGCGCGGCACAAGATTGCATAGGTTTGTGTAGTGTACATCGTCAGCGGCTGTTTTGCTGGTATGCGGAAGATGTCACGCATCAATAGCCGAAGCATTTTACTCGCAGATTTGATTTATAGAACAGAACGTTCTCATTACGTTACCTTATGAGTGTTGATTCATTTGCTGAACACACGTCAGTCCCGTAATGAGCGAAGTCTTCGAATAACGGCAGCTGAGATACTCAACTTTAGAAAGACGTGGCAATACCGGCAATAGTTGTTCTCTCTTATTATGTATAGACTGTCACACAATCAAAACAGTTCTTCTCGCCTAGTAGATACGCCTACAGAAATTTGTGCTGTGCATAAACGCAGTCTGGAACAGTCCAGCGTGACTGAGTGTTGAAGCAGTAAAAAAAGTGAAAATGACTGTTTTCTTCCCAGATGGACCTGGATGGTCTGTACAACCACCTCGGGACGTGGGACTTTGAGGTTGTGGTTTGCGAGGGCTGTGGTGCCGAAATGCATCACTCGGCATTCTCCATGCACCACCAACGAGAACAAAGCCCTAAAAGATTAGTGCGCTGCAGCGTTCGCTGCGGTTTCCCAATACCAGTGAATGAAATCAAAGACTACAACTGCAGAGAAACGATTTGCTTTGCTGTGAAGCACCAAGGCGCCAAGCTCTCCGAAGAGTGCGATGAAATACTGAGTCAGGTGGAGCAGCTGCGTGAGAAGATTTGAGAGACAGACCCCAAACGCGCCAAACTTTCCAAAGAGTATGAAGAAGTACAAAGCCGATGGAAACATCTGCGTGAGCACATCAGCGAGACAGACGAAAAACGTGCAGTGCTCTCCAAAGAGTGCGATGAAGCACTGAGGCAGGTTGATCGACTGCGTCTTCAAGTCAGTGAAATACGATACTAACAATGTATAAGTGAGTGTATACTACGAGGACACTGACACCAGGTGTTTCACAAAAATAAAAGCGTGCTTGTTTGTTTTCCTTCCTCGCTTCTTTGTCGTGACTATCGACACGCTGTTTCATAGCATAAGATAGCCGACACTTCCAGCAATTCGACGTACCCCACCTAGCATGACTGACACGATAGTAGCGAAAGCCGGATAAGTGAGTTATATTTATATGCTTTGAACCTGACGCCAGAACTCTGCCTGACGCCACGCTTCACGAGATGAGGGCGCCACTGTAGAAGTATAAAATTCTGTAATGCTTTGTAAGTTGTGCGCTTTACGTGATCATTCCATGCTAAGTCGAATTAAATTTCAAATCAAAATATTAAATGTCAAGGTCGAATAAGTTGTTGTATTCCTATGTTTGTGTAAATGAATCTGAGAATAAATCCAGAGGTAAACTTTGCTTCCCAGGTGCCACATTTGTGGCACTGTTATTTGATTTTTTCCCTCCCTTAAAATTGCACTGGTGAACCTCTGACTGCCACTTGCCCAACATAAAAGTTCAAGATCGCTCTCACACTTGCTAGATACACCTATTCATATCGCTCTTGAGCGCTTCATTAATTGCATAAAGGAACTCCATGTTCGTCCAGCAATGACGATGAGTACCTGGCTTTCTCGAGCTCCTCTTTATGAATTGCTTATAATATCTAGCCACAAATGCAAATAAATATCATTTTCTATGGAGCCAGCTTAACAAGCCCAGTCTGCAGTGTTTTGGTATCTCTTGGTATCTCTGGTCACCAACAACTTGATGTGCAATTAAAGACTGCATGCACACTTGTGTGGCTCAGGACTAGGAAGTCCAGCGTTCCGGATGTCAAAAAAAGTGTAGTGCAGAGTTATAGTGCATCGTGTAATTCGGTTTCTTTTTCATATTTACTGTAAAAGAACTTTTGGAGCTCCTCAAAGTCTTAAAAAGGTTTTTGTTCATTGTGGGGGGCATGGGTTGAAAGACAAATCAAATAAATTCTCTTTAAAGATGAATTTTCAAGCGGAAGCCAAGATGAAAACCTGGAATATTTAGTTTGCGGAAAAAGTTTGTTCTGCCAACGAGAATCGTGAATAGACGGCAAAAGCACGGGAGACAGTGAGCGTGAAGAAGTTGAACTTGCTTCGATTGAGATTAACGAACCAAAACAGTAGGACAGGGTGAAGAAGTATTTCAACAAAATAGAAGAAAAGTTAGAAAACACATCGCAAAAATAAAACAGAAAAATCAACTGCCTTCAAACTTGTCATGCCTCGTGAAAGCTTTCAAGAGTGCAGTGCCTGGTGTACTATTGTCTACTCCACACTCCTGACTGCAACAAATGTGGTAGTAATGAAACTTGTACAATATGTGTTAGTATTAAGGGGAGTCTTTTTGTTAATTGAAGTATTATTTTGAGCAAAAACTGCCTGAAAATATCATTTTTGTTGCCTTCACTGTGAAGAATGTATGTGCAAAACAAAGTGTTAAGGTGTGCCCCGCCGCGGTGGTCTAGTGGTTAAGGTACTCGGCTGCTGACCCGCAGGTTGCGGGTTCGAATCCCAGCTGCAGCTACTGCGTTTCCGATGGAGGCGGAAATGTTGCAGGCCCGTGTGCTCAGATTTGGGGGCACGTTGAAGAACCCCAGGCGGTGAAAATTTCCGGAGCCCTTGCTACGGTGTCTTTCATAATGATATGGTGGTTTTCGGACGTTAAACCCCACATATCAAACAAAGTGTTAAGGTGTATTTTTTATTATAAGATTTTGCAATTGCCATATTGAATGCTAGTATGCTTATTGTGGGCAGACTGTACATGAGTAGCTTGAGTAGTCCATGTTTATTCATATATATATATATATATATATGTAGCGAGGAAGGAAGCGCACTGGCTTCGTAGTAAAAACGGAAGCGTGAAAGCCCGACGAAACACTTTTAATAATCACATACGCTTCAGCTGGTGGGCCAGCCTTCGTCAGTGTGACATGTAATGCAGCTTTCGTAGCCATTATTTACATTTTTAAATGTTTCAGGACATGCGCAATAGCAATCGGAAGTGATTCGACATGATTATACAAAAAGGCAAAATACCTTTAGTGTGAAGATGCAATGCGTTAAATAATATGGGCACAGTGGTCACTTCTTATCGTTATAGCGACATCACTACGAGTGACAGAGACTTCAAATATAAATGGCGCATGGTGTCGAAAGCATTATGGGAACCATGCGTGCAGATTGAAGCGCATGAACGAGCGATACATACTAAAGATGACCAGGCCAACTGAGTTTGTTAAGCAGGAAACAAGGATGGTTCTGCCGAAAACAAAAATAAGAAGTAAAATAGCAGAAAATGAACTAGAAATCTCGGAAGGGCATGAGACACCTTAAGTGGTGGAAGGTAGATTAGTGAGTGTGCCTGGGTGTTCGTTTATTGCAGAGTTTAGCTTACCAAACTTGTAGATTAGAAACTATTCGCGCATTTCCCGCTCATTGATGTGAGCGGAAACCGGACTCCAGTTCCGTTGCTTTAATCTTGTCGAAATAACGACCATGTATTGCTAGATGTTTCGATAGAGGCAGATTAGGAAGGGTTTTTACGTGCGACCTATGATTATTGAATCGAGTTTTAAACGGTGTTTCTGTATGACCAATATATTGTAGATTACAGATATCGTATTCGAGCATGTATACTACGTTGAAACTGTCACAATTTAGATTGCCCCTGATTGTTAACTGAAAGCCAGTGAATGAACTGGTGACAGTTTGCGTAGTTACCATGTGCGCACACACATTGCACCACGACTTCCCACAAAGAGCACAGCCATTTTGCTTACGGGCAGCGAGCTTAGACGATGAGAGAATATCACGGAGGTTACGTGCACGTCTGTACACGACTCTCGGTGGTTCTGCGAATACATTTTTAGGGCGCTTGCTTTGAGTTAATATGTTATGGTGTCACTTCAAAATCGCGGTGGCGTTTGGAGCTGACGTTGAATGGGTGAGCACCAGGTTAACCTGGTATGTACCCAACGCCTTGGGGTCAGCGTTTAGCTGGTCAATTCGGTTTAGTTTGCCAGCACGTTTTATGGCGTCATCAATTATTCCCCGTGGATATTTACGTTGAATGAGCGAACGTTTCAGATCCTGGAAATTCGAAAAGAAATCTTTGTGGTTGGAACATATTCTTTTAAACCTATGAGCTTGGCTGTACGGTATCCCTGTTTTGGAATGTCGGACATGACTGCTATGGAAATGGAGGAGTTGATGCCTGTCAGTCGGTTTGCGAAAGAAATTTGTGAAGAGCCGTCCTTCGCTAGCTGTGACGGTAACGTCAAGAAAGTTAATCGTTGTTGATGAATAATTACGGGTGAAAGTAAAGGTGGGGTGGGCATTTTTGAAATTCCTAATGAAACTTGGAAGACTTGCTTCGCCATGTGGCCAAATCATGAAGATGTCATCGATGAAGCGTTTCTAGAAGCATGGTTTCAAAGGTGAATTCTCTATGAAGTGAGCTTCCAATATGCCCATAAAGATATTTGCGTAGTTAGGACCTACTCTAGTGCCCATAGATGTCCCGTTTGTTTGAACGTAGTGCAAGTTATTGAATTCGAAGTTGTTTAGTTCTAAGATGAGCTTCATGAGAGTACCAATCCCGGCTGCGGCGGCTGCATTTCCGATGGAGGCGGAAATGTTGTAGGCCCGTGTACTCAGATTTGGGTGCACGTTAAAGAACCCCAGGTGGTCAAAATTTCCGGAGCCCTCCACTACGGCGTCTCTCATAATCAAATGGTGGTTTTGGGACGTTAAACCCCACAAATCAATCAATCATGAGAGTACCAATGGTTTTACCATCACCTGGTTTGTCAAAGCAACAATCATCGCAAGCCTTGATGAGAGCGCAAATGCCATCGTTGTGTGGGATGTTTGTGTACAAGGACGAGACGTCTATATATATATATATATATTCATCATTCGTAAATAATTAAGGTGATGCCTTTAGTAAACTTTTTTTCCTAATTTAAAAATAAGATAGGTATGGGTCCAACATTGACGCATGTGCATCATGGCCCTGTCATATCTCCTGATATGATACATACACTGCTCGGGATATCACTGTATATTGACAAAATATTACATGCGAAGCAGCTCTTTGACGAGCCTGTGTAACGCCGTTCCTCTGTCCGCACTGCACTCTCCTGGCTGCAGGTGTTGGGGCGGTGCCAAGTAGGCCACGCCTTTCCTCGAAGTGCGCGCGCATTGACGCCACTCTCTCTCAAGCATGTCACCGCTTGTCACGTGTCACCTTTCTCGCTTCACCCTCTCCACCACTGGCAACGTTCGAAAGCACATCGAGCGAACAGTCTTTCTCCTTTAGGAATTCTCTATTCTACAGAGCGGCGCGCATGACAGGTGCATGATGGGACAGCTGTATACTCCGCTGGGGTAGAGTGTACTAGAAGTGTTGAGTGGCGTGACCACGCCTCGCCGCCTAATCCCTTCCGCGTTGCCCGCAGCGGCGGCGCTGCAGTCGAATAGTACTGAGAGAGCCGCGCGCCGCGTGCAGGAACGGTTATGCGCTTCGGCTCGTCCATCACGATTTCTGGAAGCAGATTTCTTCGCACCTGCCCGTCATTCTTGTCTAGCACATGATGCCATAGCCCTTGAAGTATGACACGCCAATCTACTGAATTTGACTGCATAAAAGACCTTGTGAGAGATCGAAAATAGTTCAAAAAGGGCGTGTCTTATACTGATTTCTTCTTTCTTAACTCTGTCTTCGTTGGTTAGGCGTCTACAAT